TATATATATTTTCTGGAGATAGAGTGTTAACTTGTTTTTATGTTGCTGGTTGACCTAGTTGTGTCGAGTATGATTACGGATAAAAAAGCGTGTCCGTTTAATAAAAGGCATTGACCAGGGGGTCATGATTAATTCACATGCATTTTGAACCTCAAAGCTCTTTCTGCTCCTAATTGATACGTTTTCTGCCCTCTTTCACCAGGTCTATGTCCCAATGCTGTGTAAACGAAGGTCCAGCCGGAAGGCTGCGAAGGGCGAGCAGGATGGGACGAAAGGTAAGCCTCAGCAGTACCTTTCTGGGTTTGGTGATGCGTTGTGATCCCCCTAGTCCCAGAGGAAGTTGATATGATTTCTTTCCAAAGAACCCATGGGTGAGATTGTAAGGCTTTCTGTGTTGTTTACCGTATCATATTGCCGCATAAAATCCATTCATTTGTCTTAACTGGACATGCGAGATTGTCCATCACGGACTTCTGCGACTGCCACATTTTGATCGATGGGCACATTTACGCAACAGCTAGCCTACGCGTTACATGTGACCTCCTCACTGCCACTCGGTTTTGTTAGAAGGTGCACAGCCAAGTGAGAACGTCGTCATGGAGAAAAATTTATTAAAACTGGTTGGATGAAACGGCTGTCATTATCGTCCAGTCCACAGGAGGTTATGTCCTCGCCGCTCTTGGCTTGAAGCAGAACGATAACTTACGCACCTGACGGCTAACTTCTTTCTTTCGAATTAGTGAGAATATTACCGGGTGATAGTGGTTCATGGGACTTCCTCAACTCCCTTGGGAGAAACAAAATGTGGAAGATAGACTAACTCGTTTCTCAGGGCCTGGAAGATAGCCACCTCGTAGTGTTTGGGGGCAGGAGGCAGTTGCCATCAATTGATGTGTCTAATACACTTTACTCCTCAGTGCATTAGGATGTCCATATGAATTTTGACACATCTTCCTAGATGTTTACTGTTTGTGAACAATCACGCCTTTCAGTTTCTCCGCTCACCAATCTTATGCCTCCTGTAATATTAATTTATGGGTTTTATCGGTAGGAACGAAGTCAATTGGCTTTTGATAACCAACATGCTATGTGGTCCGCGTCGGAACTCATGAAAGTTCTGAACCACGGACCCAAAGACTTGCATATAGCAATCAGATGCTTGGGCTTGTGGTCCAGGATGGCTGTTCAGCAATGTTAGCTGTCCCTCCTACGTTCTCCTTATTTTCTCTTGACGGAATTCGACGGATCATTGCACGAATAATTTGGTGGCATCTTAATAAATGTTTTTTGACAAGGAATTCAAGTTGTTGTGTCCAACAGGCCTTTTTAAAACGCTTTGTAGTGTTTCTGGTCGGTGTATGTACCGCTATCTTTGCTGATAATCTTCCATTCTTGTTTTGAAGCAGTCACCCACCAGGTTGCAGAGCCATTCTTTTGTACTCTCCTACACTCTCAACAAAGCTAACGTTAAGAGTGCAATTTTGTGAAACTAGTAGCCTCAAATGCAGGAACTGAAGCCAGCTCCTGATGAGATAAACGGGACGTACAGTTTTTGCTTATTGATCGAGTGATTGTTGATGTATTCACCGAGGTTTGCAATGGACTTGTAAATGTTTCGTCAACCTACGAAGAGACATTATCGGTGCGCAGTTAAGCGGGTACTACCTCTTGGCCTGTGTGCGTTTATATAGCATTTGGAGATTATCTGTTATCTCTGAACGTGATTGGCTGATTGGAAGTGGGCGTTTTCGTGACTTTATTGTCCGTTTCTGGTGCTTGTTGCATTGTGGTCTGCGTTCCTTTGAGTCGATTGGTCATCCCAGTGCTTTCTTCACGTTTATATATCCAGTCATCCTGTTTATCAAATTGCAGTGATCTCTGTTATGATATTTGAACGTATTCCGCCTAGTTGTGAATACTGCTCAGTATTCCCATTCACTTCGTTTGAAAAATGGTGACGACTTAAGAGAAGTCTTTCTTGGTGTCAGTTCGACCACTCTTTACATTCAGAAACCCGAAAAGCTCCACTGATACTGGAGTACGAAAAAATACGAAAAAACGTGAAAGCCATTACCAGCAAACTCAGCTGCGCTGGTCACTGCCGTCTTCCTGGATGGGGACCCCGAGACGGACCACTTCAATGGCTGGAGACATTGTCAGACATGACCCAGTCACGCCCTGTGGCATTCGTGCATTCAAGCTATTGCCTTCAGTGCATAGCTCCCTTCCCAATTCCCCCACTTAACATTTTATTGACATTGCTGTATTTAGGCATCACTTTATCAGCTACCTACTTCACCTCCCCAAATTGGTGGACAAAACTGTGTCAGCTACAACCACTGTACGACAAGTACGCGGTTCTTACAGCTGATGATGATGACTCAGACAACATTAGATCTCAATACAGGTTGTCTCTAACGAAACAGCTAAACAGTTTTAATCGAAACGAAACGGTTTTGTGTATAAGGTTTGATGATTCTCAACGTTGAAACTGCAACGGATTTTAGGCGGTCATATATGATGAAAATGAAATCCTCATGGATGAACCAGACATGGGGATGTGGAGCGGCTGAGCTCCAGGTACAGCTCTGGTTTGAGAGCAAACTAAAAATACCTGTAGGTATTCAAGATTCTAATGCGTACATCCGTCTGTTGGGTCTGTTGTTTTGGCCATTCGAAACCAGGAGTATGGCACATTCCAGCAGGATGGAAACAGTGTTTTACCTTCTTCTCTTCTCACCCAGTGTCACCTCGCTCGAGTACCCTTAGAACTTAATAGCACGCCGAATGTACAGAAACGCGAAAGTCTATCCATAAAATATGTTCGGTGACTGCTGTAAAGTGAAAAGACCTATCATCACAAAACGCTTCACGGAGGTTTAATGGCAGATTATCCGAAATTTTATCACAGAAAACTGCCAACTGAGGAGTGGTATTTGGGTTCACCCGACTACTTACCGCCCTTCGCTACTTTGGCTTTGCTTCCTTCGAGACATTCAGACTATGGTTTCGGCTTCTGACCGCAGCTGTCAGCTTTTAAGCAAAATGGTTTCTCATCTGGGACTTTCGCAACTCAAAGAAAGCACGAGGTATGAAGAATTGTGAGGCTGACTAGGCCCAAGCAGAGGCAGTTGGAAACCCAAACCATCCAGTCACACGCTGAGCGCCATAACTGCAGAGCCATTTCGCGGTCTCCTACCTGCTAAAAAATTTGCTTTGAGAATGATTCCAGTTAACCAGAATGGGCTCGTGTCTGGATTTGAGCACAGAGACAGCTGTTTCCTCTGAGTATTTAAACATTGCAGTCCCTTGATATGTCTACTCCCTCCTGGTTACACAGAAAACTGACAGAAGTCATAATCACTTTTCGGTGAAATTATCATTCTCTAAATCCTGGTGTGTTAGGGAGATGGTATTTGAACTCTGACCATTAACTGCACATCAGTTCCAGAGGTTGACGCTGGGAAGTAGTGAGGTATTTCCCTATTGTTGAAACCCAAAACGTACACTAACCATCTAGATTTTCTGTTATGTCATTTGCTGTCTTTGTCTGTCGATTCTTTGTGGGTGGAGGTTGATTTGCTTGATGCAGTCTGCTGACTTGCTTGCAGGAGAGTCTGACGTTGTCCTTGCCTGTCAGTCGTATACTTGGGTTGTGTAGAACAGTGTGACCAGCCATTATGCAGTTAATCGGAACCTGTCTGTACACCAATCACGTGAAGTCACTTCACCATTCCGCTTCCTATGTATCGTAGTTTGCCTGCAGTGTGGGAGTCCGCAGCAGCCATGATCTCGAGTTTGTCCACGATAGCCACCCACGTGACTCGTCTTGGATCCATTTACAGGGGCTCCCACTCATTGTTTCTAGTTTGGTTTGCCAGGAGGCCGTTCCGTGCCATTTTGGCAGGATGCAGAAGGCGTGCATTTGAATGCGTGCACTACTTGTCTCAGAGCAGATACAATTAAAAGACTATGGATTATTCGCTCTTCGTGGATTAGACTGACGATTACCGTAGACTTTGAGTTCTCGGTACAGAATCAGGCCATCGTGCGAAGTAGGCTACATAGTGAATGGCCGTTGGTCTTGCGGCTGAGTTTGAAAATGTGTTACCAGTGCACTGACTGCCTCTAATTTCATGCTACTTGAATATCCCACAACCAGATGATTACGTCCAGACAGCAAGGACCGAATGGAAGATGTGGAGTACAACCCATCTCAACTGTTGAGTTTGAACGTGTGGGTGGATGTTATACAGGTCTCAGGAGGCGATATAAATAACTAATTATTGTTAATTTCTGCAAATAGCCCGATCACTTTTTTTTGGATTAACACTTTGTCTGGGGCGCATGTGGCGTTCATATGGCGACAAGTATCGAGTTTTGTAGGTCGCAGTGATTCAAAACCGCTGTTATTGCTTTGTATATGTGCAATTCATGGTTGTAACGAGACTGTTGGCGTCAATTGTGGTTCGTCGCCTTACGGTGGCTCGCGAGATACTGACTCGAGAGCAGCAAGCGGGATTCCGGCCTGGTAGGGGTTGTGTTGACCAAATCTTCACACTGCGTCAGGTGCTAGAACAACGCCATACGTATAAGCGACCCACGATTCTAGTACTCCTGGAGTTCGGAGGCGCATTCGACTCGGTTGATCGGTCTGTTCTTCTTGAGACGCTTGCCCCGGAAGTTTGTAAACATAATACGTTCTTTGTATTCTCAGACTTCCGGACGTGTGAGAGTGTACGGAGAGCTCTCCAAAAGCTTCCGCACACAAAGCGGTGTCCGTCAGGGATG